AAATTTGTATTTAATTCTCAATATTGTAAATTGATAGATTCAAAAACTCGATAATCGAGTTTTTGTTTGATTTTGCCAAGCACTAAAGAAGAGTTTGAAGAAGAGCCATTGGAATTTGATATTGAAGCGGTAACTATTGATATGAACGATAAATTAATAATAGAAGAGTTCTTTGATATAGATCTTTCAAATGAAATCAAAATATTAGTGATAAAAATTCAGATACTTATTTTTAAAATGCTGTGATCAGTACTAAAGATTGGTCGATGGATAAAATTTTTTTTCAATCTGAAGTTTAAAAGTTATAATCTGTATATGGTTATTATAAGTTTTTTAAATCAATAAAGTATTTTAGCAACTTCTTACATAGTTGAACTCTTGAGATGTACTTCTATTATTTTATTATAGCCGTTAAATCTGCAAGTTATTTAAATTAAATAAATTCGTATTTAATACAGTAATATAGTTATATAATCATTGATCTACCCATTATTTAACAGTTAATATGGTTAAAAAAAGCAATTAGCTAAAAAAGTTGTAAATATATTTGTAAGAAAACTAGAGATTTATGGGTGCTTAATTTTTTTTTTTGCGTTACTAATAATATGTGGCATGCCAATTTTTTTGGACATGCCAACTGATATAGTACAAAATTATATGTAACCTGTGGCATGCCATTTGTGTTATTGGTATGCCACTGGCATGTCAATTTTTTTTGCTATGCCAGACTCCCTAGGCTTAGAAGCTTTAGCAAAAACATGTTCTTTTTTTTCAAGCTTCAGCAGGAGAAATACCCAAAAGTCAAGTTACAAAATTGTCAAGCTTTACAAGAAAAATTGGAAGATTTTTTATCCAAGCTTGATAGTGTTTAGTAGGAGGTAATCTCATTTCAACACTATCTTGAATAAAGAATGCCCATTCTTGAAGTGTACAATTAAATCTCTCAACAATATCCATAGACTCTTTAGAATTTGCTATTTGAATTTGAATACCATATTTATTCATTAATTCTATAACATTATCTTGGAATTCTATGGCTTTATCTACTATTAAAACTTTAACTTTAATTCGATCATAAGGTATATATGTAGCATAAATCAGCTTAAATAATTTTTATAGGTATGGTAATATTATTAAAAGATACTTGTAAGAAAAACTTTGGCCTAGGCTTATAAATCTGATATAAAGCCTGATGGTCTAACTATTTTTTTTATTTTAGCCAAAGTGAAAACATATCTAGCTTTCTTACAAGCATTCTGTATTTTTTCAGCAGTTCGATAATAGCCTTCAGATTAGTAATAGAGCCTCTGTAAAGTAAGATCCTAATCAAGATTACATGTTTTTTGATGATTGATATAAATAACTAGTTCTCCTATTCTGATTCTTTTTTATAGATTTAGCAATTTCTCTATCAATATAAAGTAT